AATGGCTAGACAAGGCGGTGTCACCATCATTGTCGTTAAAGGCATGACGGCAAGACAAGGGACAAGGCGGTGCCACCATCACTGTCGTTAAAGACATGACGGCAAGACAAGGCGGTGCCACCATCATTGTCGTTAAAGACATGACGGCAAGACAAGGCGGTGCCACCATCACTGTCGTTAAAGACATGACGCCAAGACAAGGCGGTGCCACCATCACTGTCGTTAAAGACATGACGGCAAGACAAGGCGGTGTCACCATCACTGTCGTTAAAGACAAGACGGCAAGACAAGGCGGTGTCACCATCACTGTCGTTAAAGACATGACGCCATGACAAGGCGGTGCCACCATCACTGTCGTTAAAGACATGACGGCAAGACAAGCCGGTGTCACCATCACTGTCGTTAAAGACATGACGGCAAGACAAGGCGTAGTCACCATCACTGTCGTTAAAGACATGACGCCAAGACAAGGCGGTGCCACCATCACTGTCGTTAAAGACATGACGGCAAGACAAGGCGTAGTCACCATCATTGTCGTTAAAGACATGACGGCAAGACAAGCCGGTGTCACCATCACTGTCGTTAAAGACATGACGGCAAGACAAGGCGGTGCCACCATCACTGTCGTTAAAGACATGACGGCAAGACAAGGCGTAGTCACCATCACTGTCGTTAAAGACATGACGGCAAGACAAGGCGGTGCCACCATCACTGTCGTTAAAGACATGACGCCAAGACAAGGCGGTGTCACCATCACTGTCGTTAAGGACATGACGGCAAGACAAGGCGGTGCCACCATCACTGTCGTTAAAGACATGACGGCAAGACAAGGCGGTGTCACCATCACTGTCGTTAAAGACATGACGCCAAGACAAGGCGGTGTCACCATCACTGTCGTTAAGGACATGACGGCAAGACAAGGCGGTGCCACCATCACTGTCGTTAAAGACACGACGGCAAGACAAGGGACAAGGCGGTGCCACCATCACTGTCGTTAAAGACATAATAGCAAGAGGTTCATACCATGGACTGCTAGAACCTGTGGAATAAATCTAATCCGCTCTCTACGTCAGATGCATGCCAACAAGCCTCGTAATGACACATTGGTTTTTGATAAAAAAAACTTGTGTTTGATACATGGTTGGCAAGTTCCAGAAGAAGTAATCATGAATCGACGACAACCGGTGTTGTTGATTATGATCACGACGATGACATGAATATATAATAAACATGACAAAAAATGATATGATAAAGCTTTGTTTTATCGGTAAGACATATCCAACTGTACATATTGTCCAAATATTGAGCAAATCAATACGCAACATATCTTCGTTGTACCGGACACTTTATATTCAGGGCGATTACATGTGGGATCGACTTCTTTAAATAATCACATTGCTGGTTTCGTCGTTTAAATTAATCTAGAAATTAACATATCTGTTAATCTCGTTAATCAGGACCTCTGTTTATCCGAACGGTGTTACCGAATCGTCGGTATTGAAGGTGATGTTCTAATATATTTGTCTCTTATCTCGTCAGGCCGGGTATATAACGTAATATATCAAATCCGTATAAGTATAAGCGTCTATATGAAACCATAAACCACAGAGTTAATACAAACAACCCCTAGCCCATCTAACCCAGCAAGATGGTATCAACACGCCTGCTATATAGACCACAACAAATCAGTCTATCGCGGAGAGGCAGTATGACAGGTATATTGTAATTGGCGCGCATGTAAAGTAGGCAGTTTGTATACTGTATCAAGTTTCCCCAAGTTCAGTAAGTATTATTGTGACTGGGTGAATGGCTCGCGTTCCGGGTATTGTGGGGCTCGGGAATGGCGCGGTATTGTGTTATGGGCGGGTATTCTGGTGATATATCACCACTGCTTGCGTCTGGCTGTGTGGAAGTGATGTCAAAATTAACCCATGTCTGGATTTCAACATTGCGCTGAATAGTGCTCTGGAGTGCAGTTGGTACTTGTGAAAACTTGGAACTTCCAACATGTGTTAGATTTGAAAAACTGTTAATATATAATTCAGCTCAGTATTTACTTATAGTTTTCCTGTCCATTGTACGATATTTAAATGAAGGAGATTTTGTAATGGAGAAACCACTCGAAAATAGAAAGTACGAGACCCGAATGTGAAGTTAGGTCTGGAGTTTCCTCGTTACAATAATATCCTTCACTTGAATATCGTACAATGGACAGGAGAACTAGTAGGTGTAAATACAGATGTGAATTGTGGATTCTTTTTTTACGAATCTGCAGTCCCCAGTGTTTTTTGTTATTGAAACTATTTCCAAATAATTTGTTTTTATATCATTTTAATATCATGGAAGATTTTGTGAAGCCGTTTGTGGAAATTATTTGAAAATATACCAGAGCTCTTTGCAGTGTGTATTTGTACTGTGTGAGGCGCCCTTGCACGAGAAATGTGATGATGATCAGGATGCACGTGCCCAAATTTCCGTCGCTTGTTTGTTTGTTTGTTTGTTTGTTGTTTAACGCCGCACTCAGCAGTATTCCAGCTTTATGACGGTCTGTGAATAATCGAGTCTGGACCAGACAATCCAGTGATTGACATCATGATCATCGACCCACGTAATTCAGATACGATGACATGCATCAACCATCCGATCCCGTTAGTCGCCTCTTACGACAAGCACAGTCACCTTTTACGACAAGCATGGGTTGCTGAAGACCTATTCTACCCCGGATTTCCACGAGTTCCGTTTAGTTGATCTTTACAATTCATGGTACAAGGCTCTTTTACTATTTCAGGGAATCCTAAACAAGCATTTAATCAATCGGTTTTAGCACCTGCTAATGGCGGGAAATATAGAGCCCTGAACAAGGCTATATACGCTTCTCCTGTTTTAAAGTTAATTTAATGAAAAGTGTTATGTAAATACTTTAATATGAGTGTCTTTGTGTGTTTGGGTATTTTTCAAGATATTGTAACAACTTCGCATCTATATCTGGAGCAGGCACACCATTGTCTAAACGTGTGGGGTTCGACCGACGTGACTAATGGTTCTAGGACATAGTAACTAAACCAATGCAGACTCGGAATGGCTGCGTACTATCCAAACAAATGGTATTTGGGTTCAAGTCTCCGTAGTTTCCTCGCCAATCCATGTGTTAGTATTGGAGGCCAACTTGCTCAAACTAATTAAATGTCGTTTTCTAGAAAGTGTTATTGCAGCAACCAGATCCAGAGTGATTTATGAGTTGACCGTCTCCGTGGTGTAGTAGATAGAGCGTCCGCCCGGAGAGCGGTAGGTCGGGGGTTCGATCCCCGGCCGCGCCAGATGGTACTTTTTGTTACTCTGCCTAGCGCTCGGCATTAAGGGGCTAAAACAAGGATTGGTCGGCTCGGATTTAGTATACTGAATTGGGTATCAATGTTACACTGCGGCTGGCATCCAAGGGACCTAGAGCTATAAAACCGGCATTAGCCTGGACGAGTGAGTGAGTGAGTGAGTTTGTTTTTACGCCGCTTTTAGCAATATTCCAGCAATATCACGGCGGGGGACACCAGAAATGGGCTTCACACATTGTACCCATGTCGGGAATCGAACCCGGGTCTTCGGCGTGACGAGCGAACGCTTTAACCACTAGGCTACCCGACCGCCCTTAGCCTGGACAAGTACAAGCAGACACACATAAGTGCCATAATCTTGAAGGTGGCGTTAAACTCCATTTCACCCCACCTCACCTTTTATCAATTTACTTGTATAAGTTTGATGTTTAATGTAAGACGAATAATAGCTTATTGACAACAGAACATGACGCGAAATGTACTAGCGTCGTCATATATAAGGGGCCCGTTACAAACCTGCAATAATGTAGACTTAGTGTTTCAGTACACGGTGTAATTCACATGGCCTCAACAATCGCATGTCCAGGGTATATGACAAACAGGGGAATGTCAGGCTGGCGTGAGATAGACGATTTTCTACATCACCTACCAGGAAATGGATCAGTTATAGTGTGGAATAAACCGACGCCCTTGGAGATTTGCTGAGGAAAGGGCTGCAGGTGACCCGTAGCATGCAGATAGCCGTGCCGGGGATGATTAACCCAGTGAATAACCATTGGATCGGGTACAGCCCCAGTCACTATAGCTTCTCCCAGTGAGTTGACTCTAGACGCCTCCAGGGCAAGGGCCAGGTCAAATCGTCAGGTCTAAAGTGTCTTGGGGCGGTGGATATACAACGGGCCATTTGTAAGCATGTGAATGAAATCTTTGAAATCACGAATCTCGGGATGGTAAACAGATAAGTGATATAATTAATTGCTTTGAATGGGTTATGAATAGATAGGTAGATTGGCTTTTGACAAAGAAGGTAGATATGTTGGTATGTCCTGTAGAGAGATACATTGGTAGATATATCACAGTACTGTTGTTAGGTTGGTAGATTGAACATATATTGACATTTTGATTACAAAGTGAATGTAAACTAGCGGACAAAAGAAACTATTCACTTGAAAATTAGATTTGACCAAAAAATTACAAACGTTATGAAAACATTACTAGACTGAAAACACTGCAAACTTTGGGGCCATAACACAGCTGTTATACCCGTATCAAATACATTGACATCGAATAACCATTTCTTGTTTGTGTCATGTTTAGCCACCATCCTACATTGGGTGTATAGTGTCTTTGCCCAGCAGTGTATATACGTGGTAGCCAGCAATGTTACAACTATTTCACGGCGATTAATTCAACCCAAGTTCTAAGATGAAGACAGCGTTGACACAGATTTCATCTTCTTATTAATTCATTGCGGTACCGGTTACAGTACCGTTATCAAGCCGGAATAAAAAGTTGAAATTGTCAGCTGTCTTAACTGATACTGTAGATTCTAAACTTCACTTATCGATATCAAAAACATCTTATTTATCATATGAAATAAAAAAACACCCCAGACATTCTTGATCCTTGAAATGTCAAAACTATACAAAATAGTATAATTTCGCCACTTACCTGAGGAGGTTTACACACTCTGTGTAGTAACGGTAATTTCAGCCAGATGTCTGGGGGCGAAGCTATTACCTGTATGGGGTAAGGCTGGCCCCTCTCCCAACTTTATGTTGACACAAGCGATATATTCTACACCGTACCCACTTCGTCACATGATATCGACATGCACAGCGTTCAACGAACGTGACTTCAACTGCGAGGTGGAAATTAAACTCCCGGCTTTAGACTTTTAACGTAACATGCTTGTGGGACGGTTTGTAATTAAGGCTTGTAAAACGACACCCGCAAAGAATGGACATGTCAAAAGTGTTTATACTTACATTTACTGTATCTCCCCGCTATGTCGCCTGAGTCTGGAATACACGACTCCACCGATCACTTGTATATATAATAGTGATCGATCTACGTACTTCGATATAACGCGACCACAAGTACAAATCAGAAAAAAGGACTTGGAATGATATTAAGCCATAACTCAAACATATATAAGGATTTGCTCACTCATGAAAACATAACTTTGTAATGGTACCCAATTTCCGAAAGCGTTATATCGGGAATACTGGTTTGACAGCGGTAGCATTAAGTTGGTTGATATGGCGAACTGGTCGGGCGTTATACCGGGTGGTATCTGTCGCTACCTGTTCGGGGGTATTTGTATTCCGCAGCACGTGGGTACACTCAGTCAAATTGTCAGGAGGCATGGGGTATTTAATCAATAAATCGTTAATGGCCCTCACACAAACACTCAATATCATTCCTCTTTGATCACACAGAATCGCCGATTATCTAACCCATTAGATTGTGTGGTATGCAAACTAGACTCGTGAAAGTCTCATAAGTTAAAACTAATATTTAATAACCGTTTACGTATTCTGGCAAGTTTGACTTTGACTAGGCAATGAAATACAAGGTGTGCTTGATAAGATACTACCAGTTGATCTTTAAGATAGGATCACAATCAGTATGTATGTTTTACTCCGTCCTTATCAATATTGATGCAATACCTTGGACTTCACAAATCTTGACCATGTAGAGAATTGAACCGGGACTTTCTGTGAAGAGCGAACGCTTTAACCACTAGGCTACGTGATGATAGTCATGTCAGCTTCAATGGATATAGGTAGACATTCATTAAATCCCAGATATAAAGTTGTCTTATTCAAAATATATATCTACAAAATAAATAGAATCCAAATTGATTCCACAACAATGTTTAATTTCAGGCTATCTAGACTTGCCACATTCTAGACTTCAGTTGGATTAATGTTTTAATTTATTTTCTAGGGTCTTGGAGACAGACTCGGGAAAAAGGGTATATCAAATTATATTTGGGTTTGAAGCCTCATGTTCAGATGTATCGTGTTAGGGTTAGGGTGAGTGTTTGGTGCCTGTGATAAATGTCCCTGGACAGGCAAACCAGTGATCGAATGTGTGAGTACCGACCCATCTAGTCGGTGTGTGAATACACACTAAGACAGCCAGATCCCAACTGGAATCGATCTTTACCGGCGGCCATCTGTCCAAGCACTGCATGCTCACAAATAAACAGCGCCGGAGAATGGTAGTTGTAATGTTTGTATTGTTTGTTTGTTGTTTAACCCCGCAGTCAGCAATATGACGGCGGTCCGTAAATAATCGAGCCTGGACCAGGCAATCCAGTGATTGACATCATGAGCAATGTCTTACGACAAGCATAGTCGCCTTTTACGGCAAGCATGGCTTGCTGAAGACCTATTCTACCCCAATCTCATTAAAATTAGTCTTATTAAATCATATCTTAGTTCGAGAGCGAGAACTAAGATCTGATTTTAATGCTAAACTCTGTTTAGCAGGCGAAAACTAAGATCTGATTTCATGAGACTGATTCTACCCCGGATCTTCACGGGTCGGTTGTTGTAATGACAGAAGTTTATTGTTGTTGTAATGACGGGTTGTGGTTATGTTCATTAGAAGGAGGGGGCACGGGTGGCCCAGTCGTCTAGGGCGCCGCGATTCACTGTGCAGAGTTGCGTCCCTTGGGTACGCCAGAAACATATGATTGTGGGTTCGAATCCCGGTTCGCCCCGATTATGTTTCTAGGTTTGTCAGCACCATACCCATGCTCGTGGGTTTCACCGAAGTGGTAAACGTCTTAGACCTCACTTCGGGCTTTCCTCCCACATTAAGCTGACACGCCGTGATATAACTGGAATACTGTTAAAAGCGGCGTTAAACCAAACTCACTCACTCACCCACTCACTCATTAGAAGGAACCATCAGGGTATATTTCCTGGCCATATATATTTTACGAGCGCTTGTTTAGACTATTGTAACTCACGTTCATACATAATACAGTAAACTACGGTTACAACGAACTCAAAGGGACCACTAATTTTGGTTCGTGATAACCGTAGTTCGTTATAAGCATATATACAGCATATATGCAACAAATGGCCGGGACTAAAACATAAGTTCGTTATATCGGTCAGTTCGTTATAAGCGTGTTCGTTATAAACGTAGTTTACTGTATGAAACAAATATTAATACATGTTGTTTCGACAGTGAATAAGTCAGAGAAAACACTTCTCATCGGTGTGGTTTCTCCTATACGTATTCTTGAATGAGTCGTGACATTTCGAACTTATTTTTTGTCCCGGCCACTTATGTATATATGCTGTGCATATGCTTATAACGAACTACGGTTATAACGAACTGATATAAGTGGCCCCTTTGTGTTCGTTATAACCGTGGTTTACTGAATAAATGATTATGTGATCGTGCACGACGCCACATTGTTGCTGCATGATATGTAATGGTTCTATGAAGCTTCAAACTGTCTGCGACCGCCTCCGTGGTCTAGTGGTAGAGCGTCCGCCCGGAGAGCGGAAGGTCCGGGGTTCGATCCCCGGCCGCGTCATACCAAAAGACTTTAAAAGATGGTACTTGTTGTTACCATGTCTGGCGCTAGGCATTAAGGGGCTAAAACCTTGCTAAAACAAGGACTGGTCGGTTCGCAGTCAGTATATTGTGTCTGAGTGGGGTATTCATGTTAAACTGCGGCATGGTATCTCAGTGAGCTAGCACTATAAATCGGCATCAGTCCGGACTCGCACAAGCAGTCACACACACACGTGCATGCACGTCGCTATATAAGTGCAATAATCTTGGACGCGACGTTAAACCCCATTTCACCTCACCTCAAATTGTCTGCCACACTGAGGCCGGCCCCATCCCCTTACCTCGGTCACTCATTTAGTATCTAACTCAGTTATGTGTACACTTGATTTTGGTCACTGCTTCACCTTGGGGTAGTCTTTCTGTGGTGTCCGACACGGGAAAGCTACTCTCTGGCTGGGTGATGTAGTGTGTCATCGTACCCGGACAAAATGAGTTGTTTATTAAGCAATTAATGCTAGCCTCGATCTTCACGATCACTCACTCATTTACTCACTCTGAAAAGAGGAATCTGTGTATTTCACTGAATATGGATGATAACCTCAAGCCACAGGCGTTATCACTGCGGGAAAACTGATTGAAGCGTATGTAAAATATATTTGTACAGAGGACATAGACTTATTCATAACGCGTGCCCCAGTGGTCCAACGCGTTGAGTTGTGTCCCTTAGTCATGTCAGGATCTGCTGGTCATGCTTCGAATCCCAGGTTCTATCAGCACTGTGTCGAACTTGTGTCACTAAGTGTCAGGGTATAAGAGTAAGACAATATGTAAACATGACGTGGTCAAAAGGTACCGCGCGTGAGGTGGGGATATATATGTAACAGTATGTACTGTTTCGCAGTGGAATGAAAAATAAAATCTAAAGTTTTCTAATCACCTTCTATTATCCCACAATCGTGTATGTACATACGAAACAATTGTAGGCAGAACACTACACGAATATAGTGGCATTTCCTGTTCAAAATCAGTCCCAATATGACTGAAGGTTTAACTATTACCAACGATGTCATTCCGGCTGTGATGATCATCGTCAGTGTAACTATGTGTTCTAACGCCTAGCCACCACAATGGTTGATGTTAGCCTCATTTAATGATTAATCAACAAACATTCGTGAAGCTGAATGCGTTTGCGACAGTTCATTTTCCGAAAACAAATATAACAAGAGTTTGCCACTAACGTGGCTATATCCCCAGCCCCTGTTGCAGAATTTATGACATAATTATATCTGAACAAATCCTAATCTTTTTTAACCGAGGTGGAAGTTTCATGACAATATATTGAACGGTTTATGAGTTATGCTCCGGAAACGAACCCTACCCTCACAGAACCTAAGTCCATCTTGTTGCCATGGAAACAGAAAAAATAAAAAATTCTAAAATTTCTAAATAGCAAAAGGCACCAGTTCAGCATGTACCTGACAGACCTGCAAAGTTTGATGAAAAAATATTGAACGGTTTATGAGTTATGTTCCGGAAACGGACCCTACTCTCACAGAACCTAAGTCCATCTTGTTGCCATGGAAACAGAAAAAATAAAAAATTCTAAAATTTCTAAATAGCAAAAGGCACCAGTTCAGCATGTACTTGACAGACCTGCAAAGTTTCATGAAAAAATATTGAACGGTTTCTAAGTTATGCTCCGGAAACGAAACGTGACGGACGGACGGACGGACGGACGGACGGAGCCCGTTTCTATATCCCCCGCCAACTTTGTTGGGCGGGGGATAACAAACAGTCACTGAACAGTTTCCCTGAACGTTCCTCCGATACACTGAAATCACGTGCACCGTCAACTAGGGCTGGGACGAGTCCAAATTTACTACCCGGCACACGATTCCCTATTACCCGACCCTACCCGGGTACCAGGTCTTAAGAATTGGGAACAAAATGTCTGATTGGGAATTGTTTTACCGCAGCCCTGGCCAAAATGATTCAGATACATATATCAAACGATCAGATCATGCGTACACAGAAGTTGGCTGAAAATTAATCTTTACGCAAACATATACAAGTAAAAAGGAATGTGTGAATCGTCAGAAAGAAATGCGAACATTAGGGACTTGTAGTGTAACCACTGAGCTATAGTGAGTTTTTGGCATTGAACAACATATCATGTGACTAACCACGGGTCCGGGTAGTCCTGTAGGTACCCGGCTCCTACTCAGGACCCACCCGACCCGAGTACCCGAGCTACCCCACCCAGCCCTACCGTAAACGTCAATCCGCGAAGTAAATGACATTGTTGTTGTATTTTAACGACAATCTACAAACAGTTCTCCAGTCCATGTATATAATGTCATATGATAACCTCTATTACACGTGCATTTCCTTGCATACATAGAGGTTATCAAGCGAGTGTGTTTGGGGATGGTAAATATCCTGCATTAGGAATAAACATTGTCGCCAAGGCTCGCTAAATACATAGTGTTTATTCCTAATACAGGATATTTACCATCCCCTAACACACAAGCGTGATAACCTCTTTATCATATAATGTCATTCTTTAATTCTGTGCTTCAAAATCGCTTTCCCTCTCTCACATACATAACCGAAACATTGCGAGTTTTTCGGGAATGCGCGCATTAATATTTATTACGTCACAGGGTAAGTGATGTGTCAGTCGGACAGTGACACTAGCCAATATAGTTCCAACTGAAATCTGTTTCTTATACAGTGGCGAAGCAACATATACGCAAAACAACAATTGTTTTTAATTGCCTTTCGCGGCAATCCATCTGTCTGTCCGCTAGAGTAACTGCCCTTTGTCAAAGGGAAGCTACTCTAACCCTAGTCTATGAGACGTCACGGCCACGGTCAGTCGTTGTTGACAGTCGGTCTGTCCTGTCATAACGTTAAGAAGTGTAGTCAGATGTACACACAGCGACAAAACGAAACAAGGTAACAATTCAAACACATTTCGGACAAATCCAACTATTGTAATTTGTGGAGAAGGTTTCAAGCCGCAGAGGTCTACAAGCACAGATATGGCTACTGATCCCGCCTGGCTAGGCCTCGTGCCCTCGCAAAATTGTTTCGAAATTTATATCTCTAAAGTAGCCCAAACTCATAAAATGCCTTAGCTACGTCACAGTTAGAGACTGATTTTCAGTATATTAGACTGTTCTTTTGATAATGATAGCAATTATCCCTGTAGTTTATCCAGATTCCCGATGGTTAATTCTGACTCGATCGCCGAATGATGAGGGCGACGCCATGTTTGTTTATAAACAGTGAAAGTAGTCCCACTTGACCTTTGATATTTGCATCTCTATCCACATATGACCCCAACGGATATCGTTTTTATCCGTTGGCTTTATCCTGCCGAGAAACCTACCCATTATATGATAAAGGATTATATCAGACTAAGACGTGGATGTAATGATTTAGAAAAAAACAATAATGTGCCTTTGGGATTATAGGCCACCAACGACAACGAGTGAGTGAGTGAGCTCAGTTTTACGCCGCTTTTAACAGTATTCCAGTTATATCGCGGCGTGTCAGCTTAACTTGTGAGGAAGGCCCGAAGGGATGCAGGTCTCAGACGTTTACCACTTCGGTGAAACCCACGAACACGGGTATGGTGCTGACAAACCTAGAAAAATAATCGGGGCGAACCTACATCTCGTGCTATAACAAGTATATTGTTTAAAGCGGCGTTTAACCATTCTCACTCACTCACTAGAGTCTCCTTGTGACTGTAATACGAATTGATACAAGCCAGTAACCCCATTCTGATACCGAAACTCAAAGCCCTACGACCGGCGATACGTAGGTCTTTCCAAAGATAATTCTTGGATTCAGGTTCATTTTATTTCTCGCAACCACACCAACGGTGGTACAAGACAATATATTACAAACTAAACATTAAAAAAATATACATCAAAATGGTAGATGTGAACACAACTGTTTCACCGTATTCGACGTAATAAGGGCCCAAGGCACTCTCAAATTAGAAATAGGGGGCTCTTATTAGAATATTATTTTGTTGAAAAAAAAACAGAGTTGAAAGATAAAGTTCGTGGTTTATGCTGACAGCCTGAAATGTTTATATACGACAGATATATTTTTCCAGAGTTTATTTTCCCGTAATTAAGGGTGCATATAAACACACGAGTGCGTATTTTACGCGAATAAATAAGTCTTTTGTACATTGATCAATCGGAAGGGGTGCTAATTGGGATTGTTCACTAGCCAATATAATAGCAAATATCGCCGCTTATTACGTCGAATACGGTAATTCAAATATATTTACAATACACTGATCAGACATTTGGAGTACCCATTTACCACGAGGTCTGATCATCGCTGGAAGCGTGTAAAAACTTCATCACATTAACATCATATCTGTACCTCCGATACGGTTAAGGTTATACCTATGCCTAATAGTCGTTACCCAAGAAAGAGCTATCATCTGTTGTTTAAAGAAGCTGTAAATGGCAAGATTAATTGAGTATCCGTGGTTAAAAATATCTTTTCTAAATTTGGGAAAACCGATCAGTTTCTTATCCAAAACTATTTGTATTGGAATTTGTATCACGATTAAAATATATTCATGAACAAGAATGGCATTCAGATATTGCTAGTAGTTCTAAAATGCATACCTGTTCTTTATTTAAATTAGATTTTTGTGTTGAACCGTATCTTCTAAATAGCAATATTGATAAATGTCGTACAGTGCTTTCCCACCATCATAGTTCTCATGCACTCCGTATTGACGTGGGCAGATATAACAATGTCCCAAGCGACCAAAGAGTTTGTAACCTAAATTTATGTAACACTGGTCTTATCGAAAACGAATACCATTTTCTGTTTATTTGTAAAACATATAACAATCTTAGAAACAAATATATTCCGGGAAAATATCATGTCCATCCTACATTGCATAAATTTAACATATTGCTGTCATGTCATTCTGAAACCATGAAAAACCTTTCATTGTATATATTCCATTCCCTGAATATTAGAAGCTCTTTAATGTCCATTGTGGATCTGACTATCTCAATGTACAATGTGCGAAATGAATAAGGAATATACACCTCCGATACGATACCGACACTGTATCAAGGTCGGAGGGTAGAGGTTGTGTCAGATGAACTTTCGAATCAGCCAGTGTCACAATCTCATTAAAATCAGATCTTAGTTTTCGCTACCGCTAAACAAAGCTTTGTTTAGCATAGCGAGAACTAAGATCTGATTTTAATGATATTGCCAGTGTCGAGGCTTTTAAATTCTCCGTAAGAGTGAACGAAGCATTCATACAATCATATCTGATTTTTGTACCTCGAAAACGAATACAGTTGGCAGTTCCCAGAGCAAACAGAAACAAAGCCGCCCCATGACATTAAATACGTTAATTCATAAGTTTTATAAATTGCAATTTCCGAATCAAGGAGGTAAAAAAGTGAAGCCGAATCGCTTAGAAAGGTAACATCTGATTGGCTACATTGGACAAACAAAGTCCGCGTGTCAGTAGTACACGCACAGAGGTATCGTATCGGACTAAAATATCTTATTTAATGTCACTGGGATTTAGGCGGGTGTAGAACCGGTATTAGAAACACAAGTGACTTCATGGACATTATGTTGTTATGTCAGGCAAACAAAACGAAGAAACGAACGCATTAAAAATAATAATCTAATACAATGACGTTACCAGATATTCGTAAAACGGATGAGGATGTCATTCCCTGCTGGGTTGAGGTCGAGGTCAAGGTCGCCATACTTTTCACCTTTGAAAACCCCTCAACAATCGTGCAAAGAAAGGTATACACAGTTTGTCGTAGTCGTTAAGGCACCCACGAAAACAGAAACTGACGTGAAACATTATCACGCTGAAGGGGAGGCCGATGCAAAGTTCCCAAGGTCCGTGTTCTCTTGCGCCCTGGCCAGGCGTCGGTTCCTTGCAAATCTGATGATTCCTAGCACTACTTGAAGTACCCACACCAGGAAGGTGGCCCATGTTGCAATCTGAAACAAGAAAACAGTACCAGTACACTGTCAGGTTACCGCCCTGGAACGGAAAGGGTGGGGTGGCGCCACCACACACAATATCAGTCCTCAACCAGTTCAATGCACAAAGCAACTGTCAATCTTCATCCCATACCCGCCTGCAAATACAATGGCGCCTGGACCAGACAAACCCACGATTTACAGATATTAGATCAAGATGACTACAGATCCAATGATCAATATTTTGCTTCCCAATAAATCAACCGATCCACAAGGAGAAACTTAGCTTCATCTTAGTTTTCGCCCAGCTATGAAGACCAGTACCAACAGCGGTAGTAAATAAAGCAACACAACCATTCCTAGTAGTTGATAACAACTTGTCTATTTAATGTAAAGGCGACGTTTCGGTATCGATCTGTATAACGTTGTCAAGCAAGGCGGAATAATGAACATGGTACAAGATATATATAGGTGAGGTGAGGTGAAATGGGGTTTAACGTCGCGTCCAAGATTATTGCACTTATATAGCGACGTGCATGTACGTGTGTGTGTTTGTGTGGCTGCTTGTACTAGTCCGGAATGATGCCGATTTATAGTGCTAGCTCACTGAGATACCATGCCGCAGTTTAACCCCACTCAGACACAGTATACTGACTCCGAGCCGACCAGTCCTTGTTTTAGCCCCTTAATGCCGAGCGCCAGACAGGGTAACAACAAGTACCATCTTTTAACGTCTTTTGATATGACGCGGCCGGGGATCGAACCCCGGACCTTCCACATTCCGGGCAGACGCTCTACCACTAGACCACGGAGGCGGTCTAGGAAGCCAATAAGACAGAAAGCCTATTAATTAGGATTAAGAATACATAAGTTGGGTGATTTTGATTAAAGTCTGTTATACTAAATCCATAAGGATTTTAAAGTCTCGATCCAATTGGTAGGAATCTGTTCTTGATATTTTGGCCATATTTGAATAACTGATATAGAGGTTATTGTCAACCACAGAGAAAAAAAGCGACAAAAACATTGCCTTAATTTTAAGAAAGGCCCATTGTACGATTCCGACGACATCCTGACCATGTGTTTATGAATCACTATCAAATAGTGATGACACCGTTTGTTCACGAAAAGATGAGCGTATCCTGCCCCACAGGTGTCACCCGCCACAAACACATGTGAAGTCATCTGTGTAACCATATGATGCTCCTCGAGTCATGTCACGGTTTAATGTTACTGAGCAAGCCTACCTGTGTCACTGTCAGGTAAGTGTAGAAGTTATCCTGAATCTTGTAGTCTGTGTCATGTACAAACCAGCCCCATTTCTGTGCGTCGGTACAACTAGAATAATACATTATGAAAATGATTTATGAAAGAGTTATTTGTATTGTTATGGATGTATAAACGTATAACATCTGTCATCAGGGCAGGTAGAAGGAGGAGGCCAGAATATGACTTGTGTCACATGAAATGATCGTTTTTTCTCAATGCTTCTCTCAAAGGTTTACTCAATGCTTCACTCAATGTTTTACTCAACAGCTTAAAGACTCAGAGATTTCTTATAAATATGGAAAGTTTTTATAAAAAAGTGTATTAATTGTACAGGTTGTGTATCGTTGCTGGCTGATGTCTATTATTGTTGAGTAATGTGTATTATTGTTGAGTGGAGCGATTTGCCATTGTCATGTGATGTTCATTGCTACTGTGTGATGTGTTTTATTGTTGAGTGATGCGTTTTGCATCAGTATACTGTTGTTCGGTGGAAGGCTGCTGTTGTCGGGATGAATGTACTGTTGTTTGGTGGATGGCTGCTGTTGTCGGGATGAGTGAACTGTTGTTTGGTTGATGGCTGCTGTTGTCGGGATGAGTGAACTGTTGTTTGGTTGATGGCTGCTGTTGTCGGGATGAGTGAACTGTTGTTAGATGGATGACTGGTGTTGTCGGGATGAGTAAACTGTTGTTTGGTGGATGGCTGCTGTTGTCGGGATGAGTGAACTGTTGTTTGGTTGATGACTGCTGTTGTCGGGATGAGTGTACTGTTGTTTGGTGGATGGCTGCTGTTGTCGGGATGAGTGAACTGTTGTTAGGTGGATGACTGCTGTTGTCGGGACGAGTGTACTGTTGTCGGGATGACTGCTGTTGTCGGGATGAGTGTACTGTTGTTTGGTGGATGGCTGCTGTTGTCGGGATAAGTAAACTGTTGTTTGGTGGATGGCTGCTGTTGTCGGGATGAGTGTACTGTTGTTTGGTGGATGGCTGCTGTTGTTGGGATGAGTGAACTATTGTTAGGTGGATGACTGCTGTTGTCGGGATGAGTGAACTGTTGTTAGGTGGATGGCTGCTGTTGTCGGGATGAGTGAACTGTTGTTAGGTGGATGGCTGCTGTTGTCGGGATGAGTGAGCTGTTGTTTGGTGGATGGCTGCTGTTGTCTGGATGAGTGAACTGTTGTTAGGTGGATGGCTGCTGTTGTCGGGATGAGTGAACTGTTGTTAGGTGGATGACTGCTGTTGTCGGGATGAGTGTACTGTTGTTTGGTGGGTGGCTGCTGTTGTCGGGATAAGTAAACTGTTGTTTGGTGGATGGCTGCTGTTGTCGGGATGAGTGTACTGTTGTTAGATGGATGACTGGTGTTGTCGGGATGAGTGTACTGTTGTTACGTGGATGACTGGTGTTGTCGGGATGAGTGTACTGTTGTTAGATGGATGACTGCTGTTGTCGGGATGAGTGTACTGTTGTTACGTGGATGGCTGGTGTTGTCGGGATGGGTGAACTGTTGTTAGGTGGACAACTGCTGTTGTCGGGATGAGTGTACTGTTGTTAGATGGATGACTGCTGTTGTCGGGATGAGTGTACTATTGTTAGGTGGATGACTGCTGTTGTCGGGATGAGTGTACTGTTGTTCGGTGGATGACTGGTGTTGCCGGGATAAGTATACTGTTGTTTGGTGGATGACTGCTGTTGTCGGGATGAGTGTACTGTTCTTAGGTGGATGACTGCTGTTGTCGGGATGAGTGTACTATTGTAAGGTGGATGACTGCTGTTGTCGGGATGAGTGTACTGTTGTTAGGTGGATGACTGCTGTTGTCGGGATGAGTGTACTGTTAGGTGGATGACTGGTGTTGTCGAGATGGGTGAACTGTTGTTAGGTGGATGGCTGCTGTTGTCGGGATGAGTGTACTGTTGTTAGGTGGATGACTGCTGTTGTCGGGATGAGTGTACTGTTGTAAGGTGGATGGCTGCCGTGTCGGGATGAGTGTACTGTTGTCGGGATGACTGCTGTTGTCGGGATGAGTGTACTGTTGTCGGGATGACTGCTGTTGTCGGGATGAGTGTACTGTTGTTAGGTGGATGGCTGCTGTTGTCGGGATGAGTGTACTGTTGTTAGGTGGATGATTGGTGTTGTCAGGATGAGTAAACTGTTCTTAGGTGGATGACTGCTGTTGTCGGGATGAGTGTACTGTTGTTAGGTGGATGACTGGTGTTGTGGAGATGGGTGAACTGTTGTTAGGTGGATGGCTGCTGTTGTCGGGATGAGTGTACTGTTGTTAGGTGGATGACTGGTGTTGTCGGGATGAGTGTACTGTTGTTAGGTGGATGACTGCTGTTGTCGGGATGAGTGTACTGTTCTTAGGTGGATGGCTGCTGTTGTCGGGATGAGTGCACTGTTGTTAGGTGGATGACTGCTGTTGTCGGGATGAGTGTACTGTTGTTAGGTGGATGACTGCTGTTGTCGGGATGAGTGTACTGTTGTTAGGTGGATGGCTGCTGTTGTCGGGATGAGTGAACTGTTGTTAGGTGGATGACTGCTGTTGTCGGGATGAGTGTACTGTTGTTAGGTGGATGGCTGCTGTTGTCGGGATGAGTGTACTGTTGTTAGGTGGATGGCTGCTGTTGTCGGGATGAGTGTACTGTTGTGAGGTGGATGATTGTTGTTGTCGGGATGAGTGAACTGTTGTTAGGTGGATGACTGGTGTTGTCGGGATGAGTGTACTATTGTTAGGTGGATGACTGCTGTTGTCGGGATGAGTGTACTGTTGTTCGGTGGATGACTGGTGTTGCCGGGATAAGTATACTGTTGTTTGGTGGATTACTGCTGTTGTCGGGATGAGTGTACTGTTCTTAGGTGGATGACTGCTGTTGTCGGGATGAGTGTACTATTGTAAGGTGGATGACTGCTGTTGTCGGGATGAGTGTACTGTTGTTAGGTGGATGACTGCTGTTGTCGGGATGAGTGTACTGTTAGGTGGATGACTGGTGTTGTCGAGATGGGTGAACTGTTGTTAGGTGGATGGCTGCTGTTGTCGGGATGAGTGTACTGTTGTTAGGTGGATGACTGCTGTTGTCGGGATGAGTGTACTGTTGTAAGGTGGATGGCTGCCGTGTCGGGATGAGTGTACTGTTGTCGGGATGACTGCTGTTGTCGGGATGAGTGTACTGTTGTCGGGATGACTGCTGTTGTCGGGATGAGTGTACTGTTGTTAGGTGGATGGCTGCTGTTGTCGGGATGAGTGTACTGTTGTTAGGTGGATGATTGGTGTTGTCAGGATGAGTAAACTGTTCTTAGGTGGATGACTGCTGTTGTCGGGATGAGTGTACTGTTGTTAGGTGGATGACTGGTGTTGTCGAGATGGGTGATCTGTTGTTAGGTGGATGGCTGCTGTTGTCGGGATGAGTGTACTGTTGTTAGGTGGATGACTGGTGTTGTCGGGATGAGTGTACTGTTGTTAGGTGGATGACTGCTGTTGTCGGGATGAGTGTACTGTTCTTAGGTGGATGGCTGCTGTTGTCGGGATGAGTGCACTGTTGTTAGGTGGATGACTGCTGTTGTCGGGATGAGTGTACTGTTGTTAGGTGGATGACTGCTGTTGTCGGGATGAGTGTACTGTTTTTAGGTGGATGGCTGCTGTTGTCGGGATGAGTGAACTGTTGTTAGGTGGATGACTGCTGTTGTCGGGATGAGTGTACTGTTGTTTGGTGGATGGCTGCTGTTGTCGGGATGAGTGTACTGTTGTTAGGTGGATGGCTGCTGTTGTCGGGATGAGTGTACTGTTGTGAGGTGGATGATTGTTGTTGTCGGGATGAGTGAACTGTTGTTAGGTGGATGACTGGTGTTGTGGGGATGAGTGTACTGTTGTTAGGTGGATGACTGCTGTTGTCGGGATGAGTGTACTGTTGTTAGGTGGATGGCTGCTGTTGTCGGGATGAGTGAACTGTTGTTAGGTGGATGACTGCTGTTGTCGGGATGAGTGTACTGTTGTTAGGTGGATGGCTGCTGTTGTCGGGATGAGTGAACTGTTGTTAGGTGGATGACTGCTGTTGTCGGGATGAGTGTACTGTTGTGAGGTGGATGATTGGTGTTGTCGGGATGAGTGAACTGTTGTTAGGTGGATGACTGCTGTTGTCGGGATGAGTGTACTGTTGTTAGGTGGATGGCTGCTGTTGTCGGGATGAGTGTACTGTTGTGAGGTGGATGATTGGTGTTGTCGGGATGAGTGTACTGTTGTTAGGTGGATGACTGGTGTTGTCGAGATGAGTGAACTGTTGTTAGGTGGATAACTGGTGTTGTCGGGATGGGTGAACTGTTGTTAGGTGGATGACTGGTGTTGTCGGGATCAGTGTACTGTTGTTTTCTGGTTGATGCTTATTGTTGAGGATGAACAATTTGTTCAAAACACTCTTTATTTCATTGCTTACCTGTTAATATTTCGGCCAAAGTTTCTACCCTTGAGAAAAGCATCACAGAACATCTTTAACCCAACACTGATCATACAAGAGGCGATGAACGTCACAAAAGTGATGACTGAATTCAGCAGGATGAACGGTATCACCCACATCTTTGACCTGAAACAACAGCCATAGGAGTAGGGTCCACATCTTTGACCTGAAACAAGAGCCATAGGAGTAGGTTCCACATCTTTGACCTGAAATAAGAGCCATAGGAATAGGTTCCACATCTTTGATCTGAAATAAGAGCCATAGGAGTAGGTTCCACATCTTTGACCTGAAACAACAGCCATAGGAGTAGGGTCCACATCTTTGACCTGAAACAACAGCCATAGGAGTAGGGTCCACATCTTTGACCTGAAACAAGAGCCATAGGAGTAGGTTCCACATCTTGGACCTGAAACAACAGCCATAGGAGTAGGTTCCACATCTTTGACCTGAAATAAGAGCCATAGGAGTAGGGTCCACATCTTTGACCTGAAACAAGAGCCATAGGAGTAGGGTCCACATCTTTGACCTGAAACAACAGCCATAGGAGTAGGGTCCACATCTTTGACCTGAAACAAGAGCCATAGGAGTAGGTTCCACATCTTTGACCTGAAACAACAGCCATAGGAGTAGGTTCCACATCTTTGACCTGAAACAACAGCCATAGGAGTAGGGTCCACATCTTTGACCTGAAACAAGAGCCATAGGAGTAGGGTCCACATCTTTGACCTGAAACAACAGCCATAGGAGTAGGTTCCACATCTTTGACCTGAAACAACAGCCATAGGAGTAGGTTCCACATCTTTGACCTGAAATAAGAGCCATAGGAGTAGGGTCCACATCTTTGACCTGAAACAACAGCCATAGGAGTAGGGTCCACATCTTTGACCTGAAACAAGAGCCATAGGAGTAGGTTCCACATCTTTGACCTGAAATAAGAGCCATAGGAGTAGGTTCCACATCTTTGACCTGAAAAAAGAGCCATAGGAGTAGGTTCCACATCTTTGACCTGAAACAACAGCCATAGGAGTAGGGTCCACATCTTTGACCTGAAACAAGAGCCATAGGAGTAGGTTCCACATCTTTGACCTGAAATAAGAGCCATAGGAGTAGGTTCCACATCTTTGACCTGAAACAACAGCCATAGGAGTAGGGTCCACATCTTTGACCTGAAACAACAGCCATAGGAGTAGGGTCCACATCTTTGACCTGAAACAAGAGCCATAGGAGTAGGTTCCACATCTTTGACCTGAAACAACAGCCATAGGAGTAGGGTCCACATTTTCTACATGAACCGCAGCCATAGGTGTATGACTCATATCTTTGATCTGGAACAGCAGCCATAGGAATATTAACAACATGTCTGACCTGAAAAAAACAGCAATAGGAGTTGGGCACACATATTTGACCTGAAACAGCTATAGGTGTATCACTCAAATCTCTGACCTGAAACAACATCCATTTGAGTAGGTCCCACAGCTTTGACCTGAAATAATAGCCACAGGAGTATCCTCCACAACTCTGACCTGACGAAAAACAGAAAAAAGATTATACCCCATATGTTTTACCTTAAACTGCAGCCATAGTGTATCACTCACATCTTAGACTTGAAAGCATTTTCGACCTGAAATAACGACCATAATGACATCAGTCACAAAGGACGGTAGTCCCAATTAGAAGGTAAACCTGCTTACCGAGTTTTGAAATTGGTAGTCAAACTGTAGATTAGATACCTCTTTTATAATTTGGAATAAAACTGTTAAGGGGTCTCTAATCTACATTTAGACTACCTCAAATTTCGAAACAGTAGGTGTATCTTTATTCTACCATGACAACATGAAGGTTTTAGTTCAGTACTCATTTGGAAAGCATAATGACAATTGAATAAACAGTAACCCACTATAGATGTAGAGTTTCATCGCAACATGTTGCAATGATTGGACTCAACCAAGTCATTTCTTGGAAATCAACATTACATCTCCATTGTAGGGGTGACTGGTTGTAGAAATGGTAACTGACAAAATATGTTATTTATTTCTAAAATAAATAAATAAAAGGATTTGGCTTTCTTTCCCAACTCCCTAACAGTAATACATATTCAGAATTACTGTCTCTCCACCCAAAACGTCGATCTGGCTGAACTTGACTTACTTGTTGTTCACTGGGTTGTATGTACTATTTGCATGAGCCAGGGGTTGCCCTGAGGATTTACTGGTGGAAATGCGCCTGCTCGCGCAACCATCGGGACCAGTCTGAAGTATGTCTGAATGTCTTCGGTTTTGAGCTGAGGACGAGCCGTACTTGCGCGACGTGAGAGACTGCTAATTTTTGTTCTACTTAATTGTACGTGATACTCTAAGTTCCGTAAGCTGTTGTGACCAAGAGCTTGAGGAGAGTACCGGTAAGTGAAACATCTGATAGTGTTCGGATATCGAACGTATACATATCTAATGGGCTATCGGCAATCACTGTGTGTGTGTGTGTGTGTGTGTGTGTGTGTGTGTGTGTGTGTGTGTGTGTGTGTGTGTGTGTGTGTGTGTGTGTGTGTGTGTGTGTGTCTGTGTGTGTGTCTGTGTGTGTGTGTGCTTGTACTAGTCCGGACTGATGCCGATTTATAGTGCAAGCTCACTGAGATACCATGCCACAGTTTAACATGCATACTCCACTCAGACACAGTATACTAACTCCGAGCGGGCCGGTCCTTCTTTTAGACCCATAATGCCGAGCGCCAGACCGGGTCACAACAAGTACCATCTTTAACGTCTTTTGTTATCGACCCCCGCTCTTCGGGCGGACGCTCTACCATTAGACCACGGAGGCGGTCTGATATTTTCAAGCATTCTTCGGTGTTATGGTAGAATGTTTGATACCAAGCGGAGCCTTGACTTTCAGTTTACCAAAAAATATCATTTCTGAGGAGATGTTTAAACAGCAAAAGTTCAAAATAACATCAGGTTGAAGTTCCACGTTGAAATATGTAAGAGACAATCGTCATAAACCTCACTTACCCAATACGTGGATCTTTCCTTGTCAGGACGTACACGTGATAGCTGAGCATACCAAGGCCATAGACTATACAAAAAAAAACACTGACGGAGATTCCAAACTTGCAGTTGATACCATGTGATAGCAAGATCGAAGGCCTAGGCTTTCTAGTCCAATCCATGCCCGCATAGAGAATACAGCCTCCATCAAAATCTCCCTGAAAACATAAATAACTTGATAAATAAACTGCCAGACAAAACAAGTAAATGTCTTTACACATTCACACTTCTCTCTGTTAATTACAATGTACTGTGTAGCAACCTCGATGTTCCTTGAGACGTCCCGTGCACGTCACCTGTCGTGAGATTGATATGATGCATGTAATATACCCGTGACAAACACATCTCCCTCGTATAACCATTTCTTGTTTGTTTCATTTTAAGCCATTATCATTTATGGGTGTGTACTTTTGCCCGGTAGTTTAAATATTTTCATTTACAACACCACTGATATCTGCTGAAAGGGTACACGGACTTTAGTTTCTTCATTTGGGCAGAACCATATGATGATGCAAAGAAAGCAGTTGAACGGAGAATTATATACATCTTGCCACGGAACAGTCGCAAAATATGTCAATAGATCAACGTTTTGGTTTCTGCAATTCAATATAAAAAAATATAACCTAATTTGTAAAGACTGGAAAGTAATGTGATTTACCTAAACAATAATACAAGATACGATTGATACAAATCGCTATTTTATGTAGCTTTTTTCAAGAGGTGTGTTTAACTTGAATTTTAAATTTTAAAAGCAACTATGATGCATGGAATCGAACTGTCGCCTTAGAATAGGTCTTCAGCAACCCATGCTTGCCGTAAAAGGCAACTTTCTTGTCGTGAGAGGCAACTTTCTTGTCGTGAGAGGCGACTAACGGGATCGGGTGGTTAAGCTAGCGGACTTGGTTGATGCGTGTCATGTTATAACAATAGCGTAAATCGATGCTGATGATCTCAATCACTGGATTGTCTGGTCAAGACTCTGATTACTTACAGGCCGCCGTCAAATAGTTGGAATATTGCTGAGTGTAGCGTTAAACAACAAACAACCAAATGTAACGAATACTCCTGGAAATACCCACTGTAATCAACGGTTCAAGGGACGCGTTCAGATAGAGTGCTCACTTCAATGGAAATAAGCATGTGTCAGTCGAGACATTAAACTTCGCATTGATATTGCGTGGGTGACTGGTACTACCGATAGAGCAGGACATGCTGGACCTTCTCGTCAACACCTTGGGACATCACTGGTTTTCAGTTATCCATTCGTGTACTTTTTGCCTATTGTGCCCATTGGAGTCTGTTTCGGCGGATAATCGAGACGGAGACGTTGACGTTTTGAATTCCATAGGCTGACCCTGATGGATCAAGGGTCCGTCAAGTCCAACCAACACCGCCGCCATACACAAACGATGACAAGTTGATGATGACAAGTTGATGATGACGGTAGTTTCCACTGATGACATCGGAAATACAGTCAAACCCCGTTGTGTCGAACTTTCATGTGTTGCACTTTCGGTTGTCTCGAAGTTAAAGCTTGATCCCTGCGTATTCCTTCTTTATTCATCATTTTCGCTTGTGTCGAGCCTTGGATAACGCGAATGATTTACGTAGGTCTCTTCAATTTCGATACAACGGCGTTTGCTTGTACAACCTTTTAAATATTACTAGACAATTTCAGTTATATAACGCCGTCTCAGCTTGATGTGGAATAAAGCTATGGAGACCCAAGAAGTCAATCGCTTTGGTGAAATTTGGTCACGGGTATGGTGCTGGCAGATCTAGAAACATAATCTAAGATTGGAACCCAAGAACAGAGGTCTCTGGCACGCTTATGGGGAGGCAACTCTGTGCAGCTAATTGTAGTGCCTCAACTAACACAGACACTGTATGGCATTGGGGCCGCAAGAGACTGCTTCATCCATTTCATAACCATTTCCTAGACCCGTGAAGATTCCGGGGTAGAATAGGTCTTCAGCAACCCATGCTTGCCGTAAAAGGTGACTCTGCTTGTCGTAAAAGGCGACTAACGGGATCTGGTGGTCAGGCTCGCTGACATGGTTGATGCATGTCATCGATTCCAATTGCGTGGATCGATGCTCATGAAATTAATCACTGAATTGTCTGGTCCAGACTCGATTATTTACAGACCGCCGTCATATAGCTGGAATATTGCTGAGTGCGGCGTTAAACAACAACCAACCAACCAACCAACCAACCAACCGGGCAGACGCTCTCCCACAAGACCACGGAGGCGGTCCCGGCAAATATGTATTAATAATATAGGTCAGGGAGAAAGAGAAAAAAATAGAAACATAATATGGCTCCAGGTGTGTTTGTATAACACATTTTCTTGCACATGATTACGACATTATTCAAATATACCGATTGAAAATATTCTCTGTGCAGTTAATCCATAGACATCTTCCTGGTGTTTAGCTCGGCACGCAGAGTTGCATAAGTCTTCACTTTGAAGGGGTATGGGTTGTAGCAATCTCATTAAAATCAGATCTAAGTTCTCGCTGCCGCTCAACAAAGATCTGAGGACATCCCATTACGGGTCACGTCAGAACGACATTCGCGAACTTTGACCGACCACTGAAATGTCTAACAAGTAGTGGACATCAACCAATTAGAAAGCAGCTTTCTCGAGCTTTACGACCCTCGTTTCAACCTGGCGACTCTCATTTCAGACTACGCTTGAAAAATATGTTGACACAGCTCTCGATTAAAATTTTGAAAAATGAACAAACGAATATTCCGGAATGTCTTATATATGGTTGAGGTTGTATGGCAGTGCTTCCCACGTACTGTGCAACGCCTCCTCCGTTCAAATGTTTATCCCACGGAAGCGAGAGATAAACAATAATTGTGACCGAATCAATCGTACGTGCCGTAAATGTCGTTCGGAATACCCGTGTTAACGTTTTCGAGGTTGCATGATTATGATTATGACACATTCCGATTGTCACTTTCATGATCTGGTAAGCGACGCTTTGATTGCATGGTCGGGTGAAAGGTTGATCTGATCTTATGAGATTTGGGTTGTAGCAGAGAGTTTATAGATTTATAGATTTCCTGGGTCAAATAAGTTGAATAATTCTAAATAATCACAGTGTAGTTAATACAAATCACATGAAAAACATCTGCACTACTGTTATCGTGGCCAGCAGCTCTGACCCGTGTCCGGATCATGTGTCTGTCATCAAAGTTACAGAATCACCTTATGATCACTGAAGCATGACTTTGGGAATGAGGCCCGGGAAGACCCAGACTCACGAGACAAGTGTCTTGACAGGACACAGCAGTTAGACATCCGCCTCGAGGGAGGCTAAAAGTGGTATGCTTTGTGTTCAGCCTGCCTGACACTACGCTTGCAGAGGCGGATACAGCTTTTTTGAAAAGGGGGGGTGCACAACTAAGATCTATTTATTGTCTTTGGTGGTAATTTATACAGAAATAAAGATTTTTTTCGAAATAAAAAGGGGGATTTTAATCATCTACCCGTATATTAAAAGGACATTTACGCGTGTTACTCATTTAACAACATGATATTGAAAGTTGCAGGTAAGTTGTTTAGAATCACGGAATGTATCACACATACTATGGCGCTGTCGCAATGGCAGTGTTGTAACACATGGGAATATACTAATGCAGGTTACAGAGGAGCACACGGATATCAATACCTACCGTGGTAATCCCGAGGGGTATGGCGACAGCAAACCCCAGCACAATGTTAGCAGCGTATAGGAAAGTCTGTAGGAGAAGCTGGACGTCCATTATTATACACGGCATCTTGTGTTGTGGACTGGCGGAGCTCTTCCGTGTGCAGTGGTGCAGTTAGCAGCTCTCAAGGTCAAGGACGACTTACTGCCCGGTGGATTTCTGAATTGAACTCAGCTGATACCAGATGACTGCAATTGTGCATACATGTAAGCTGTCAACCACTGGATTACTGGTGTATACATGTAGTCTGACCTTCTACTGGACTACTGGTGTATACATGTAGTCTGACCCTCTTCTGGACTACTGGTGTATACATGTAGTCTGACCCTCTACTGGACTACAGGTGTATACATGTAGTCTGACCTTCTACTGGACTACAGGTGTATACATGTAGTCTGACCCTCTTCTGGACTACTGGTGTATACATGTAGTGTGACCCTCTACTGGACTACTGGTGTATACATGTAGTCTGACCTTCTACTGGACAACTGGTGTATACATGTAGTCAGACCTTCTACTGAACAACTGGTGTATACATGTAGTCAGACCTTCTACTGGACTACTGGTGTATACATGTAGTCTGACCCTCTACTGGACTACTGGTGTATACATGTAGTCTGACCCTCTACTGGACTACTGGTGTATACATGTAGTCAGACCTTCTACTGGACTACTGGTGTATACATGTAGTGTGACCCTCTACTGGACTACTGGTGTATACATGTAGTCTGACCCTCTACTGGACTACTGGTGTATACATGTAGTCAGACCTTCTACTGGACTACTGGTGTATACATGTATGTTTCCCCTGTACTGGACTACTGGTGTATACATGTAGATATCCCCTTCATTAGACTACTGGTGTAGCCCCCCGAGGTGTGTCACCGAATGTCAGGGTTTACAATCGTTGGTAATCCCGAGGAGAAATGGTTTCTCCAACTTATAAACTGACTAATCACATAGACAACGTTTTTAATTAAATAACTAATAAAAACTCTCAAATGTATAACCTGTATCGGAGCAATCGCCTGCAGTCGTGAACTCGGGTCAATGAAACCGGCGACCTCAGCACGTGGGTTTCGCAACGGTGCGAAATCTGCACGTGCGTCTCGCAATGGCACGAAATCTGCACGTGCGTCTCGTAAGCTGTTCGTAGTTTTTGTTCTATCAAGGGTTTACAATGATTGTAAGCCCTCCTGCGAGGTGTTACCACAATTTCGGTAAAAACCATATCGAGTTACACAAACAGCAAGTAGGTTTATAAATGTAGTCTGACCCTCTACTGGACTACTGGTGTATACATGTAGTCAGACCTTATACTAGACTGCTGGTGTATACATGTAGTCTGACCCTCTACTTGACTACTGGTGTATACATGTAGTCTGACCCCCTACTGGACGACTGGTGTATACATGTAGTCTGACCCCCTACTGGACGACTGGTGTATACATGTAGTCTGACCCCCTACTGGACGACTGGTGTATACATGTAGTCTGACCTAATACTTGACGACAGGTGTACACATGTAGTCTGACCTAATACTTGACGACTGGTGTATACATGTAGTCTGACCCCCTACTGGACTACTGGTGTATACATGTAGGTTTCCCCTCTACTGGACGACTGGTGTATACATGTAGTCTGACCTTCTACTGGACTACTGGTGTATACATGTAGTCTGACCTAATACTTGACGACTGGTGTATACATGTAGTCAGACCTTATACTTGACGACTGGTGTATACATGTAGTCTGACCCCCTACTGGACGACTGGTGTATACATGTAGTCTGACCTAATACTTGACGACTGGTGTATACGTGTAGTCAGACCTTATACTTGACGACTGGTGTATACATGTAGTCTGACCCCCTACTGGACGACTGGTGTATACATGTAGTCTGACCTAATACTTGACGACTGGTGTATACATGTAGTCTGACCCCCTACTGGACGACTGGTGTATACATGTAATCTGACCTAATACTTGACGACTGGTGTACACATGTAGTCTGACCCCCTACTGGACGACATGGTGTATACATGTAGTCTCACCCCCTACTGGACGACTGGTGTATACATGTAGTCTGACCCCCTACTGGACTACTGGTGTATACATGTAGTCTGACCTAAAACTTGACGACTGGTGTATACATGTAGTCTGACCTAATACTTGACGACTGGTGTATACATGTAGGTTTCCCCTCTGCTGGACTACTGGTGTATACATGAAGATTTCCCCTCTACTGGAGTACTGGTGTATTCCTGTAGGTATCCCCCCTACTGGACTACTGGTGTATACATGTAGTCTGATCAAAATCATAAGAAATCTCTTCCAAAAGTACAATTGTACCATTATATCTTCAATATTTGGAATTGAATCATTGAATCACTTTAAAAATAAAAATTGTGTTGATACCAGGTGTTCGCGAAAAGATGCGCGTTCCCTGCCCCACCGGCGGCACCAGTCAAGGGGAATCAGGAGGAATCCGGGGGTCGAACACAAGATCATTTAACTCTGGCACGGCTCAGGGGCGCACCTTGGCAGTGAACTTCGGTTCCTTAGACGTGTCCCTTAACTAGGTAGACCATTACAGGCCAGACGAATATTTTGGTGTAGGTACACAAATACCCTGCATTGTACCCTTTGAAAAGGCTGACCAGTATGAAATGATTAGAGAATAAGCAAAAAGCTACGAGGAATTACGGATTATCTTCCCCCTGTGATTAAAGGGTGAACATCAGTCAATCCCGACAGGCAGATAATCCGAAATTCCGAGTTTCGAGTAGGTTAACCTGTGTTTTACTCATTGAAATTTTAAGACAGTAAGTGAATAAAACTGTATGAAATGTGAACCCTACAGATAAAATTCACTGAAGGCAGTCTATTTTTCAGATGACGTTATGATCATTGGATGAAGAAACACGGCGTCCAGGCTTTCCAGTCCAGAGTTTTCGGAATTTCAAATCTGGTCTGTTACCCGACGTTCGGGATTGCGGGCTGTAGGTTTCTGTCACTGTGGAGGATCCCCAGGACAACCTGGAGCGTCCAGATGAAGAAAGATGCCCAGGAGGATGTCTTGAAACACATTGTGAAACACATATGACAAGTATATTATACGTTCATTTTACAGTTCTTGAAAATACCTTATAAGTTTCCTCGATTATCCAGTGTGTTATATCTTCTACATGTATATTGATAAATACCCTGGACCCATTTGCAACAAAAGCTTTATATGGCCCGATATGAAAGGTGTGACACTAAAAATCAGGTTACCATCATGAACGAAAGACATCCTGTCTTAAGCTAGAGAAAGGATCGATAGTTGTAATGACGTCACTTCCGAAACGAAGCTATGGTGCAGAATAGGTCTTCTGCAACCCATGCTTGTCGTAAGAGGCAACTAACGGGATCGGGTGGTCAGGCTCAATGACTTGCGTGATGCATGTCATCGTATCCCAATTGCGTAGATAGATGCTCATGATGTCAATCATGTCTGGCCGAGACTCGATGTTTTACAGACCGCCGTCATATAGCTTGACTATTTCTGAGTGCGTCGTTAAACAACAACTTAACCATTTCAAATATTCAAGGACGCCTGATTTTGCTAAGGCAATCACTGAAGCAGGCTTTACCTTGCTCGTAAGCTGGGTCGATAGCAATGTTGAAATTGACGGATAGCTCTGTAAATACAAACCTGGGCAACCGTCAGATATTCCTGGTAGCTCGATACAGACAAGTTCCAGGACCATCGCTGATTCTCTTCATCAATACAACTGAAAGGATACATGATTTCTGATAAATTCAAAATAAATATCAGCGTCTTCGGCTGATGTTATAGACTTTATGTTTACAATGTATCGTCTGAAGTTTTAATGAGACATTTGTCATCCATCTTAAGCATAGACCCAAATCTTACAGGCACGTTCCGTGATATAACTCTCGAATGGGTTAAGTGGATGGTGTATAACTTCAGGAACAAGCCAGTTATCCATGTTTAAACATGTAAATGTGAAGTTTACACGTTATACCGCTTTTCCACTGTACGAAATGCCGTTCACGTGACCGCTAAACTACGTTCCTAAACGACACATTTTGACGTTCATACGTTAATCAAGCGGCTGTATTCTTGAAATGACGAAAGCACTGACAGACTATTTCCACATTCGCATGGAAACGCATGGGAATTTCCTGGTACGAATGAATACAAAGGCGTTGATCCTGATCATTTGGACCTCTTAATCGTGAATATTGTGGAAAGTCAGAGGCTTAGAGTGCATGCCCGTGTACGAATATCCTCACCACGACCCACTCCAATGAACAAAAAATAAAATAAATGCACATCTCCACTATCGAATCAATCCGTTCCTAGACTGATAGTGACAGTTTACAGCAATATTTTAATTTACCTCAGTATCTATATGACACGTCTATATGATCACCTTCCACTTCCACTTAATCGCCACAGGTTTATTACCAACATTGATCGTGTCGGCCATTTTGACGTCCTGTACTTTGATGTAGATTATGACGACGCACTGTCTCTGTGATTGATTTCCTGAGGTGGTTATTAACAGACCTTTCTCATCTCATGATAATATTATTTGAATCGTTTTGTTCTAACCAAACTGGAACATATTTGAGCATAAATACGCTCACGTCACCTCTGTCCTTTACAGGAACTTTTTTATTGCGCGATGCACCTGGTTAATGTGTGGCCGTCACAGTAAACATGTACTACATGAAAGTATGTTTACATGATTCAAGGTATAAATAGTGATTTAGAAAGATATAAGAATTGACTTTAACTATGTGCGAGTTGTATGAACGTAGTGGTGTGCTGTATGAGTGAGTGAGTTGGGTTTAACGCCGCTTTTAACAGTATTCCAGTTATATCGCGGCGTGTCAGCTAAATGTGGGAGGAAAGCCCAAGGTGATGCAGGTCTCAGACGTTTACCACTTCTGTGAAACCCACGAGGACGGGTATGGTGCTGACAAACCTAGAAACATAATCGGGGCGAACCGGGATTCGAACCCACAATCATAGGTTTCTGGCGTGCCCAAGGGACGCAACTCTGCACAGCGAATCGCGGCGCCTTAGACGACTGGGCCACCCGTGCCCCCGTGTGCTGTATGAAGGTTCATACTTAAATAAACTCACATAAAGTAAAAGTCAGTTCTGAATTTAACACCCTTTCAAGTCTATTAAGTACGTCTGACCTAGGGGTTTTCATATTTGTCACCAAAAGAAACAAAACATTGTCGTGCAAACAAAAATGTGGAGGAATCAAAATTCAAAATACATGTAAATGAACATTTTAAAATAAAACCCCACTGGTAAATACTGATATTCCTAGTGGTTTATATTTTTCTACAAGATATGTAAGCAAAAAGAAAATATATTCCGATCATGGCATGAAATACAGTACGGACCAGTAAGTGTATGAGCAGAATTTTTCTGGATAGCTGTTTCAGTGACACGACCAAAACGTCCGAAAAGGATGTGATGATGTGTTTCCTGTAAACACGGCACTAAACATACCCTGCCACCCGTGAAGATCTGAGTTAGAAATGGTCTTCAGCAACCCATGCTTGTCACAAGAGGTGACGCCGCCTCCGTGGTCTTGTGGTAGAGCGTCCGCCCGGAGAGCGGAAGGTCCGGGGTTCGATCCCCGGCCGCGTCATACCAAAAGACGTTAAAAGATGGTACTTGTTGTTACCCTGTCTGGCGCTCGACATTAAGGGGCTAAAACAAGGACTGGTCGGCTCGGAGTCGACTGTGTCTGAGTGAGGTATTCATGTTAAACTGCGGCATGGTATCTCAGTGAGCTAGCACTATAAATCGGCATCAGTCCGGACTAGTACAAGCAGCCACAGACACACACGTGCATGCACGTCGCTATATAAATGCAATAAACTTGGACGCGACGTTAAACCCAATTTCACCTCAACTCACAAGAGGTGACTGACGGGATGGGGTGGTCAGGCTCGCTGACTATGCATGTCATCGTATCCCAATTGCGTAGATCGATGCTCATGATG